AAATGCTTGACCTTTTTAGGCACAAAGCTGATATTGGCTGGTGACCAGTCTAGGCTGTAGAAAACACTTTGTGAACTCATGTTGATACTTGCTAAAAACACGGCCCTTGGTCAATATTTGAAAGCCAGTTTTTATTTCATTTCACCCTTTAGATTGGAATCTGAGCTGACACCTTTTTGGGGGGTGGCCTGGTATCTGGGAATGTTTCCCACTCTCCTCTTTTGGAATGTATGCTTCTTTGCCTGGAGAAGTTTTAATTCTTCTTCCCTCATGATGCATTGGTGTTTTGAATATCCTATAGTCAACCAATCACCCAGTAATCACTGTGGTTCAATGTCATGAAGATTTTCTCTTCTGATCTTGTCTATCTGGTGTTCTTTGTGCTTCTTATATCTGTCTAGGTATGGTATGTCTTTCCTTAGTCTGGGGAAAGTTTCTTCTGTGATGACATTGAAGAAGAGCTGGTCTATGTCATTGCCTTGGGATTCGTTTCCCTCATCCATGCCTATGCTTTGGTTTTGCAGAGTCTCCCACATTTGAAACTGTATGTTCCTTTCCTGTGTCTTGCTTGTTTGGTCCAGATCCTCTGCTTTATCTTCAAGTCCTCGCCTTCTGTCTTCTGCACGATTCATTCCATTTGTAAGGCGTTTCTTTGAGTTTTCTAGTTGAGCTATTGAGTTTTTCAATTGCACCTTCATTTCTGCTTGAGTTCTCTTCTCCTCATTGAGTTCCATTCTCAAGTCCTGAACAGTCTTATCATGCCCACCTGCCTATACTTTCTCAGGCGCTATTCCCCTAACGCCTTTCCTTCTTGATTTTATTGAGCTGCTTCTTCGAGTTTTCTTTAAGCTCCTTGAATTGTTTGATGAAGTTTATTGTTGTTTTTTGTTTGTTTGTTTTGAGACATGCTTTCATTCTGTAGCACTGGTTTTCTTGGAATTTACTGTATAGATCATCTTTGAACTCACAGATTCTGCCTTCCTTGTTTCCTGGGTGAGTGCTGGGATTAAAATTAAAGGCTTCCAGCACTACACCTGGGTATGGCTGTTCTTTTAAATTCTCTGTCCCGGGGTTTGTCTAGGCAATTCTCAACAGCAAACATTTCTACAGAACTGATTCCTTTTGGAGAGAAGATACTGGAGATATATATGCAATGTTTTATGCTTTTGCAATGAGATTTGAGCACGTGGACTTCTTTTTTCTCTAAGTCTGATACGGACAGAGCAGGACGGGCAAAGGAGAGGGCATGCAGAAAGGCTAGGTCAGGCTAGACCCTGGAGAAGGGTGTGGGGGGTCTGGTTAGGTGGAGAGGTTAGACGTAGCAAAGAAGAGTCATTGTTCTTTTTAAATTTTTACTTAAAGTTTTACTTACCATTGAATAGTTCTCTGTCTGTGTATCTGCCCGCACACATGCATGTGTACACAGGAGTGTGCATTTATGGAGGTCAGGGAACAACTGTCAGAAGTCAGCTCTTTCCTTTCAACATGGTTTCCAGAGACCAAATGAGGTCATGAGGCTCGAGGGGCAAGAATGTTGACCTCCCAAGCCATCTTGCCAGTGTCATGTCTGCAGTTCTGTCTCTAGAGGTTCAACCAACCTTGGAGAGAAAATCTTTTTTTTTTTTTTAAGAAAAAATATGCCTGTGATGAATATGCATTGACTTCTTCTAGGTTATTATCCACTGCACAGTACAGTATAAGAACAATTTGCATTGCATTTCCACCAGATTAGACATGATCGGCAATCTAGAGAGAATTTAAACTTTCCAGGAGGATGTGTGGAGATTCTCTGTAAATGCTAGCATTTTTATATAGCAGACTCTAGAAGCTGTGCATATTAGTATTTCATGGAGGTCCAAGAATCAGACCACCATGGACACCAAAGCATGGCCATGTATAGAAATGTTCACACATGCATGTGTATGCCCGTGTGTGTATATACATACGCTTAGTCTTTTTTCTTCCACATTATTCTGATTCTTTCAGATAGTAACCATCTGTGCCTGTGTTTTGAGGACTGCTTTCCAGTACATGAAAGATTGCCCTCATTGATATTTTACTCTTTGTTTCTTTGTGCATGGGGGTGACTGTGCTCATGTATTAACAAGCCGTTTGTTGTTCTTTTTCTGTGATCAGCCTTTTTAAGCTATTTGTCATCTTTTCCTTCGGTTTCTGGTCTTTGAAAGCCAGTCTCTGAGAAGTCTCGATTATTAAGGAAGTAAGCTCACCATCATGGGATGGAATGCTTTTCCCGCTTGCCCGTTCCTCTACAGTCACCGATGCTTTTGGAACTTAGGGCTTAAGTGTTGTTCAGAAAACTCCTCTCGACTATAAGAAGAAACAATAAAAATATAGTAACTATATTATTTGTTGAATAAAAATGCATGTGTGAAGATAATTAAACAATTGACACGAGTCTCTCAGTCTCTCTAGATTGTATGTCTTAAGTACATGTCACTGTTTTCTACACAGACAAACTGGCAGACAGGATAATTCATCATTCCCAGACAATACTGGGTAGGGGTAAAATGGCAGATTAACAGGAATAAGTGCTATATAAAATTTTTTCTCCTAAGCTTTTTTTCATTTTAATTTTACTATTTTTGAGAAGAATATATTTTTCTAGAAGAACCTATTGAACATATTCAATATAGAGAAACCTAGCTTCTGTCAAAGACGTGAGGGAATTAAAAGCTGTGTTACAAGTGAAAAGCAGAAAAGAACCATGCTTGTCCTTTAGAAGTTCATAACCATTGAGAAAGCTGACATGAGTAAGGATGATGGATAAGACCTTACCCTGGTGTGGCACAGTCACGTCGGAACTAAGGATGCTCATCAAGGCTACACATCTGACCCCCAAGGACATCTGCTTAGTATGTAGTCAGTAGAGCCATGGAAGACTTGTGAGATCATGGCCAAGTAAGGTTTCCTTACCAGTATGAGGCCCTTCGTTCACTGAACTGTTATTGGATGTTAAAAACCATGTGATCTTCAGACCCCCAGCTTTATCCTTTGATACATAGAGTTCATGGCAAGTGAGTAGTAGGAAAAATGGCCTGACAGGCAAGATTTTGATGGTTTTATTTTTGCCCGAGCCTGGACAGATTCTTTTTTTTTCTTTTCTTTTCTTTCCTCTTCTCTTCTCTTCTTTTCTTTTTGTCTGAAACCTTCAGTTGAATAATTTAGAAGTATCCCCAGATGTTCTATATGATTCATCAACAATATGGAAAACTAAGCATAGTCACACAGGAGAATGGCCAAGTTCTGTGATTCTGAAGTGCTGAAGTAGGGCATTAGTGAGATCAAGCGAGTCACTCAATGTCATTTTATTTCTACCGCTAATACTTTTCCGTTACTCTATGATCTTGGGGATGCTGTAGCCACGTGGAAAAAACTTGATCTTCCCAAAGAACAAGGTTAACAAAATTAATCAGTGTGTGTGTGTGTGTGTGTGCATGTGCGCACACACACGCACATGTATGTGTGTGTGTCTAGATCAGTGGTCAACCTCAGATGTTATTCCTTAATAACACAGCTTATTTTTAAAGAAGGGGTTTTTCCCTTTTACCTAGAAGTTGCAGATTTGGTAAGATTGGCTGGCTTATAAGCCCCAGGGATCCACCTTCTGTGCTTTCCTAGCTCTATGGTTTCTGCTATGGGTTCTGGGGTTTGAACTCATGCCTCCAGGCTTTTGAGGCGAGCACATAACAACTTGAGGCATCTCTCCAGCTCGGCTTGATTACTTTTAGAGAATGCAATTAACTTCTATACATGTATTTTTGTATGGTTGTGAACGGCTGTGAACATCTGAATGGCTGTGCATGTACTGAGTTAGTGTTTGTAGTAATATTTTCATCTGGTAAACTGAAGACACAGTAAGTCTCAAAAACTGCACTAAAATATATCCTGTCAGAGACTGAGTAGACAAACCACAGCCTGGGAGATATCTTTGCCAAAGACATATCTGCTAATGAACTGTTCTCCAAAATATGTAACAAGTTTTAAAGCTAAATAATGGAAAAAATGTACAATCAGATTAATAGAGGCCAAATGTCTGGAGAGACAGCTCACCAAAGACAACAGGCAGATTTCACAATGGGCTATTTCATAAATATAAAGTTTTTCTTTTTATTTCAAATTTTGGTATGGGAGCAGAGAAGTCAGTTTTCTGGGGTAAATTACAAATTATCACCCTGATCCATTTAACCCCAGTATTAGTGAGCATTATTAAAATAATAAGAGAGAGTACCCGGCCAGAGACGGACTTGGCTGCCTTGCTCTGCTCAAGGATGGGTTCATATAAACAAGGTATTGCCATGACCCTCCACTTAAATGAGTTCCGGGCATCTGGCCAGAGCTGAGACAGACATGGCAGGTCCCACTGAGCCCTGTGACTTTGGCTTTTACATTTTCCCCTCACTCAGTCCCTTCCGGTCTTTTTTCCTGTTTCTCAAATTTATGGAGCCAAATTCCATCCAAAAGGATGTTTAAAATAAGATCCAAACAGTTTTCTGAGTCACAATAGATTAATGGCACATTTAAAGGCAACAATTTGATAATTTCTGCCATATGTGTATATCCGTGCAACCATCCATACTTTCTAGAAAATTCATTTTCCCTCTCTACCCCTCTGGCTTTGTACCCACAGCAATGCACTGACCTGCTTTCCATTACTGTGGCTGTGTATGAATTTTCCAGGATTTAACGTTCCCTTTTATGTTGAACCTATTTCATTTATCATAACGATTCTGAGGTTTGTCTGTGTGATTACCTGTAGCAATAGCTCGTTACTTTTAATACTTTACTTAAACAGTTAGTCAGTATTGGGTAAGTAAACCATAATTTATTTATTTACTTAGTTATGGATACCCAAGTTAGTTTTCAATTCCTGGTTAGCAAAACTTAAATGTCTGCATTTGTAAACAAGTCTGAACATACATATGTCCTTCTATTTCTTCCAGACAAACATCTGGAGAACTGACTGGGTTGTCAAAGACACTTCAGGTTTTCACAGACTGTCAAACTCGTGTAAGTGATTAAACCATTTTGTATTTCCACAGTTAGTGTGTGAGAATTTGAACAGCCGTAGGTCTTTGTCAGTACTTGGTACATGCAATCAGTTTGGTTTTAATTATTTGAGAAGGTGTAGGTGGTAACACCATTTTTAATTCATTTACCACAGATGGATAATGTTAAACGTCTTTCCCTCTACTCATTTAACAGGACTTCTGTTGCAAATGTCTCTGCATATCTTCCAGCCATTTCCGAAAGGAGCTTATGTATTTTCTCATCACAATGAAAAGCTCTTTGCATATTCTACATAGTCTATGCTTATGCAGCCTGGCTATCACACGGTTATATGCTTTGCAAATGTTTCTCCCTAGAGTATAGCATGCCATTTTATTTTCTTACTGTCTTTTTAGAATATCTCAAGTGTGATAAAATGTCCTGTATTTTATGTCAGTTTTGCAGATTTAGGTTTTATATTTGGATCTATGACCTGTTGCAAGTTAATTTTGTTTTGTTACTTTTTGTTTGTGTTGAGACAGGGCCTCATGTAGCCCAGGCTAGCTTTGGACTCCTATATACTCATGGATGGCCTTGAACTTCTGGTTCTCCCACCTCCACTTCTTCAATGCTGGGGTGACAGGTGTGCACCATTACACTCAGCCTTGTGTGATGGCAGAGACTGACACGAGTGTTGTGACATTTAAGCAGGTGTTCTACCAACTGAGCTACACACCAGGTCCCAGTTTTGTTAATTTTCAATAGTTTGTTGCTAGAATATAGGCGTAAAATTAGATTTAGTGTCTTCTATCCCAAAGCTTTACTTGTATTTGTCCCCCGCCCCCCCCAGCGCTTTTTTTTTCAAACCACCTCAAGATTTTTCTATTCGAGTGCTCGGTGTCACCTGCAAACAACGCTTTTTTCCCCTTCGCCTGCTGCTTCCTTTCTCCCCTACCTTGTTGTAGTAGATAGGTGCTCTGCTCCAAAGCTCAACAGCACCAGGAGAGCCGACCCCATAGCTGTTTATCTCAGGGGGAGTCATGCGAGTTTTATCACTGTTGTTCGCGCAAACTTTTAAGGGACCACAATTAAGGGACATTGAGAGTAGCCATTCGGAAAATTTGTGCCGTAGAATGATTGTATTCCTATTAAATCTGTGCTTCTTTTAAGGTTTGTTTTTTCTCCATTTATTCGTGCTTTACAGCGATGTCAACTTCTGATGAGCTAGAATTAAGGAGGGGCTAGAGAGGCGGGTGAGAGGTAAAGGACATGCGCAGCTCTTGCAGCAAACCCAGATTCAGTTACTAACATTGACATGAAGGCTTACAGCTACCTGTAACTCCTTACATGAAAGAAAGAAAAAAAGAAAAAAAAAACCAACAACAGTCTATACACACAAATAAAAATAAATATTTTTTTGGGGGGGGGGATGGCCTATGCTTTTGTATTTTTTTTAAAAAATTTACATGTGTAAATATATGTCTGTATTATATGTCTGTGCACCACACATGTGCCTGGTGTGCACAAAGGTCAGAACAGAGTTCTGGATCCCCTGGAACTCACGTTATAGATGGTTGTGAGCCATCATGTAGGTGGTGGGAATTGAACCCAAGTCTCTGGAAGAACAGTCATTGAATGCTCTTAACCACAGAGACATCCCTCCAGTGAAAAATAAATAAACCTAAAGACAAGAAGAATAAGAAAAAAAGCAATGGCGTCTCCTGGCTTTCTTTTCCTTCTTCAGAATTTTTCTATCTCAGGTTCTTTGAATTTTTCTGAGTACTTTAGAACTGCCTTGCCAATTTCTACTGAAAATGATGGATACGCTTGTGAATGGGAAGAAATTAAAAAGAAAGACCTATCTGGGGAGGAGTCATTTGTGAGAAACTAGTTTTTCAATCCACAGATACACTCATATTCCTTAATTTACTTAGCTCTTCCCCAGCAGCCTACAGGGATTTTCAGTATATATACCTCGCTAGTTTTTATAAGGGTGAAAAAAAATCCCCCAAAGTTTATTTCCTCAGTAATATTTTGCTTATAGATAGAAATATAATTGAAATTTTGTATTTTTTTAAATCCCAAAGCTGGCTCCCAAGAGCTTTGTATAGATGTGATATAATTCTATGAATATTTTAAGAACAATGTCAAAGTTCATCCTGAGGAACAATCTCCTCCCTTCTTTGATTCTTTTCTTACCTTATTGCATTGGCTCAGACCTCTAGCAAACATACAGTAGGAGTAATGGGATAAGATACCTTAGTTTTGTTCCCAACTATAGGTATGTATTTAACATGTCATCATATTATCATACATGTGATGTTAGTTGTGACCTTTTGACATATGAGTCTTTATTTTTATTTTTCTAAGTTTTTCGAGACAGGGTTTCTCTGTGTAGCCCTGGCTGTCCTGGAACTCACTCTGTAGACCAGGCTGGCCTCGAACTCAGAAATCCGCCTGCCTCTGCCTCCCAAGTGCTGGGATTCAAGGCGTGTGCCACCACCGCCCGGCCATATGAGTCTTTCATAAGGTGACATTTTTCTATTGCTTACATGCCTGGACATGTTTTGTTTGCTGGGTAGTAATCATGACTGTGTTGGGAATTTCTGGTAAGTGGCTAAAAGGAAACAACAAACACAAAAGAAAATATCTAGGTTTTCAAACTAGACACAGATTGGAAAATTGTGTTTCAAAACCATTGAAAACAGTCATTTCTTGGATTTCTTTGATGCACACAGATTTTGGCCAGCTTCTAGTTTTCACTCTTTCTTACTTCCTTTTGTTATGGCTTAGACAACCACATATGAATAAAGATGAGGAATCGGATTTGAATATTGAAACTCAGAACAATAGAACTGAAAGTCAGCATGGACCAATTTATTCTGAATTAGTGTTGTGAAAGGCATATTGTCATGTGTAAACTGTGTATTCTATTTGTGCTAAAAAATGCCTGAATCAAAAACACCATTGGCCTCTTCTATTAGGAGAGTTAAGACAAACATTTATATTCTGACTTGAACTTTTGGAGACCAAGAGATGATGTTAGGACCTTGTAAAAGCTGAGAATTTTCTTTCTCAAAGGCCCATGCTTGAGCTACGCCTGTGGAGTGTGGAACAGACTCCAAGCAGTTGATACCAGCAGCAAGAGTGGTACAGTTTGACCTTGCTACACCTGAAGGGTCATTTCCCAAAGCCAGCTTTTGCTTTTTGAGGCTGTTTAAGATATGAATATGATATTCTGTTCCTTTGTATCACAATGGAGCCTTGTGCTTTTCACACACTGATAAAAATGAGACAACCATTCTATGATGAAGGTTGGGAAGTAATCACTCTGCTGATCAGAGAGAAGCCTGGAGGTGAAGGATGGGAACTCAGGAGGAGGGGGGCCAGGAGGAGTAAGCTGTTTCCTTTTTACAGAAAATGCTTCAGAACGAGAGTGGAGACAATGTTTTTGCACAAATAAATTCAGAGAATGTTTAGTTGACACATTTTTTTTTTTTTTGAGACGTTGGATGAGAAGCAGATGGAAGGTGATGTTAAATCCTGTCAGATATGAACTGCTATGGACCCTGAGTATGCACGTAAATATTTAACTAGGAAAACAGTCACAAGAAGGCTTCTTGGGAGTAACCTGGGAAACAGGAAGCCACAAATTACAGGTCTGAAATTTACCATGCACGGTTTGTGAGTTCAGCTAAGTAGAACCGAATGAGGAGACTGGAGATTTTATAAATAGCTCATGATTTCGGCCAGAGGAGAAAAGGGGAAGGCTTAAGAAGGAAGTTAGTATACTCCATTCCAGTTCCAGTCAGTCCATTCAATTATAGGCAGAGTACCAAGAGTGATTCGGTGGGGATTTAGGCATACTCTTCCATTTCAGGTGGACTCATCATGACTGTGTACAGGGGGAAGTGGTGGGAATCATTCAGTTAGAATCTAAAGCTAGTCAACGGGGCAATGTTAGGTCTGTTGATTCATCCTGGGAAATAGGAGGTGAAGCAACTTGTCTGATTCACAAACACACATGTGTGCACACACATGGATACATACATATCAGCCTACACAGAAGCACATGTGCCTGTGCACCCTCACGTGCACACACACACACTCACTGCCAACACTCTGGTGTTAGACGTGTTCATCGGTTGCAGATGGCGAGGTAGAATTTTGTTTATGGGTTGAATGGAGGGCAAGGCTCGAGTGCCATCAAATGCATTTTACATGTAAATTGTGTGTTGTTAAGGAACAATCTGTAGCTTAAGGTGGAAATGAAATCGGATTGTGCCTTCGTCATCCCAGGCTTCTCTTCTGGAGGGGAGGAGTTAAATGCTCCATTTTCTTATTTTTATTTTCAAGTTTAATTTCAGGTTCACCAAAACAGTGTCCTGTGGTTATCTCCTGTATCCCACATTGCATCATCAAACTATGGCCTTCATATAGTGATGTGGGTGAACCATGCACGTTGGCACTTTTATGAAACCCACATGGTCACCAAGAAAGGATATTTCTCATTGTGCGTGTTGCAGTCACCTGTGTCACCTCTTCTTACCAAGGAGGACCAGTGCTCTGATTTTTCCTCCACTCAAGTAGTCCTGAAGGGATGAGAGCCTGCTGCTACTGTCATCTCAGAACATGTGCTCTTAGGTGTCTGGCTTCTTGGCTCACTGTGTGCAAGGGCAACCTAAGTTATCAGTCGCCCGAGTTATCAATAGTAGCTTCTTTCCATTTTTCAGCGTGTTTCTTCATGCAAATCAGTCACGTGATTTCTTTCTCTTGATGGACATTTTGTTGCATCTAGTGTCAGGGTATTTAAAAGAGCACAGGCCAAGGTATGTATAGACATCTGTATATACAGTTTTCCAAGTTGAGAATGAACATTAACAATCTCAGTCCATAACTGTATGGGCTCTGACATGTATGAATATAGGCAATATTAGTTTGCTTAAGGTAGTTTCATCCCTCCTTCCCTCCTTCCTTCTTTCCCTCCTTCCCCCCTCCCTCCCTCCCATGGCCTTCTCTTC